GCGAGAAGCTTATCGCGAATACTAATCAACAAATATTAATTAATATTGCTGTAAGAATGTTTTTCTGTGAGAGATAAATTTCTTCCTTCTCGTTATAAAGGCGCGTTGGAAACAAAGTCTTTTGATGAGCGGTTGTTCCGTGAGATGAATAAATTTGCGTGGAAGACAAAAGATGTGTTACCGAAAATAAGGAAGACAAATCAAGTGTATCCGCAGGCGCAATTTTCACCGGAAAATTATATAGGTTTCGCTTTTTCTCTCTCTCTTTCTAATTACCGAGCTCAATAAAGCTCGTTGTCGCGTTGCATTAATGTTGAACACGCGTCACGTCGTCGCTTCAAAGTTGATGGCACGAAATAATCCAACGCTTGTAAACGTTTCCGGTGGGTGCATCGCGATAGCTACACACCCGTCGAGATGTCTTTTCGATTTTGGAGTATGACGCCTCGAGATGACGCTTACTGATAAGCGAATTATCGCGAAAAGATCAAGTACAGCGCGATTTAATCTCGAAGCGAAAATAATTTTTCACATGCTTCAGGTTGTTTTACTTGCGTGTAAAACTTCTTCGTGGTTTTTGAGAAAAGCATGGCTTTGAAATCAATCTTGTTATAATTTTAGACAGTCTGTTATATGAGGATAGAATATTCAGGGCTAAATGAAATTTGCGAGAAATATTATTATTCCTTAAAGGCCATATTTACAATGAAAATTCCATATTCTGCGCTACATTGTTGTTTTACATTCTTTTTGATGATGCATGTATTATATTAATATTTAGTTATCATATTTCCATATTAATAACAGGTAAAATACACATGGTGTTTTACGTGCGCGTATTTCTGCTGAATAACATTGCGATGTCATTTATCTTTGAAATAGGTAGAATTAGCACTGATACTTTGCGCGAGAGTGGAGCAAAGTGCACAACAATGAGAATTCGATGTACCGCGAACAGCGAAATGTGGTATTATTTATTATTCCGAGGGAAATCCTCTCCCGGAATATATCAGTGGAAATATGAGATAGCCACAATGCACAACACTTTGCTGCACGAAAATCACTCCTCGGCAAGCCTGGGAAATTTCTACTTTGATACGAGATCATCTAAGCTCTGCTCGGTTTTGCGTAGAATTAACAACCATCCTATTTGTAGCCACAATGCGTAAAAACAAAGAGGTAATGAGCTTTTCACGTACTTTCAAGATATTCGTCGTTAGTTTTCAGTGACAACAGAATAAATGTTTTATCATAGTTTACATGTATTTTGCTTCGTTCGAGTATTTAACAATCGACGTTTTTATGAAGCGCTTTTTTTAAATACGCTTAGCGGAATTATATTAGTGCGTTATTTTGCGCGGATGTTGCTGGCCGATCTACCGCCATCATGATGAAAATTTTCATGTGACCGGAACGCGACATTCACCTCATCGAAAGTTCATTTACGTGTCCTGCATTTACGAACGAACGGAACTCATTCTCTCTCTCTCTCTCCGTTTTGATTCAATCGATATTACGCTTTTACGAATGCACGGTACATCTTGCCGAAAGCAAGCAATGCGGTGCCAGTCTGTATTTTCCGGGTTTTTGATTAAAGTTTGACAAACAGTTGCTTACACACATAGCGGTTGAGAATTGTGGTTTCCAATCGCACCGATAAGGGATGTGTTTAAGCCAGAATAAGTAATCATCGAGAATTGATTTTGTTTTTAATGCAAATATATATAAAAACAATTATATGCTCTTTAAGTTCGGAAAGACGACCGGTTTATCTTTGAATGCGAAAGTCGAGTTTTGCAAATTGTCGGAAAACACTTTCGAATTGTCGCAGATCGGACAATAATTCTTGTTTTATCTCCGGCAAAAGAAAAAAAAAAGAAAAACAGACAGAAAATAAATTGGGCCGATTTGTTCTGATAAGCGGTCAACTCGCGGAAGTGAAAAGACCGAGCGGTTTGTTCGGTTATCTACAGCTTATTTCGTATAAAACGCTGTTTGAAACGGATCGATCGCGTGATGCGTATTAAACTATGCGACGTCAAATTTATCTTTTGCGCGGATTGAAACGTGCAATTTTCGGATTTGCGCGTGCTGAGTTCGCTAAGTTGCAGACATTAACTCTCGTTAAATATTCGATAAGATTCTTTTACAAGATCTGCGTTACCTGAGTTAAATTCTTAATATCGTTCAGGTTTTCAAGAAAAAAAAGTAACGTCATACAATAATTCTGTGTGCGAACAAAAGACAGATCTGTATAAAATCGACGATTATTACACAGAATCAGACAGGATAAAAATGTTTTTCAACGTTAGTAGGTATAAGTCAATTTATTTGCCCTACTTTTTTCGTATACTTTATCTTATTTTATCGACAATGGCGTAAATCATCTAACTTGGTAAATTGCTTTGCGTCGTGCCACACAGCAAATATATATATATATATTTTTTTGCATCCGTTCTCGCAATTTTTTTCTCTCTTCTTTATCTCATTTATTTCGTAATTCTCTCCGTCGTCGATGTTGGTTGTTGCGTTGGCGAATAAACGTGCGTCGGGGCAACAGTAATTGTAGGTTGTTTGTTTCTTTTGTACCTGGTTGTAGTACGTACATACCTGCATCGCTCTTTTCCGCGTGATTTATCTGTCGTTTCGCTCGCGAGTGATAGGTTAATTATCATTGTTATATAGCGACATAAAAAACTATCATTTCATCGATTTTGCAGCCGGTGCCAACAATTCCCTTTTGTCGCAATCACGGAAGTTGTTGCGCACAGCGAATGAGAATGGTCGCGGATTATGAAATTTTAATGATGATCATCGTAAGAGAGAGAGAGAGAGAGAGAGAGAGAGAGAGAGAGAGAGAGAGAGAGAGAGAGAGAGAAAATTCGCGCGAAAGTAGTCTATTAGTCCGGAAAAGAGATTCAATCCCCAACTCGAGGAGGAATTAAAATAAGGATAGTTTTTTTTTTCGATTTTGCTCGATGTGGCACACATTGCCTTTTTTGCAGTCTCTTCTTTCTTTATTACGCCGCATATGCGAGAATATTAAGAATGAATATTGAGTTTAAATATTTGCATATTTTTCGATCCTTTATATTTATTATTTGCATATTTGTATTTTTCGATGCTTATTTTTATCAGCGAGGTTGAATCAAACATCTGCAAAATTGTCTCTGCAACTTGAAAGAGATGAAATTTTTTTTACCGAGCATGTTATTTCACATTTTAATAACGTCGCAGCGGAAAAACGTGATTCTACGTGTACATATACGTACGGGCACATGTTCGCGCGCAAGATTAAATTGATCCATGTTGTTCACCTGTATCTAATCTCGCAAAAAAGCGCTACCATAAAGCGTTGCAAGCTATCTGTCCAATAAAAGATCCGAACGTGTGTGCACGCGTAATTTAATCATGAACTTTGACTTATAACGAAGTTCGAGTGTACATCTCGTGCATGAAGGATTGATTATCACAAAATCTACAAAGACCACCTGCGCCTAACACAGGTTGATTGAAGTCGGAAGGTCTTTTCTTTGACGTAAAGTTTCAAATTTAATACGCATCTCTCTCTTTCTCTCTCTCTCTCTCTCTCTCTCTCTTTTTGTGTTCAATTGATCGAAGAGCTGTTTTCTACACATCACCGGTAAAATGACATTTTAATCTCAATTTCAAATAGCTATCGCTTATTTTCATAATAAACTCGACAAGATATTTACTGCTGTTGTAATAACGCTGAAATAATATTTAATAAAAATTGCGTGTCAAAAATTTCAAAATCTTATATTTGATCTTTTTTTAAATTTCTAATATATACAGTACAAAATTGCTTATTTGCGTAAGACAGTTGCTTAATTAAAACGAGTAATTTCTCCTCTCTCTTTTGTGGGTAATAAATTACCGATTAACTTGATTTTCTATGTTTTCGCTTTTAACGGCGCGTTTGCGTATATTTGATTAGTTTTACAATTTTCCGCGGCACAAAGTAAAATATAGCATGCGAGATTGGAGCGTAGGTCGATTGGACGTCGAAGACACGCTCCGCCGATAATTTCATTAATCACTTTCGCGTCGCATCGGTCGCGTAGCACATCGTTTTATATCGTCGCGCACACGGGCGTGCTATTATAAATCGCGTTAGGGCTCTTACAGAGACAAGAAGCGCGGCCAATCAGCGTTTCGCTTTGCAGACATAGCAGATATGGAACTTCCGGAGCGCGTTAAGTAGAATTTAACTTTTGCGACGTGTCAAGATCGTACGAAGGCGGAGTATAGTTACTTTCAGTAATGTTCTCACATGTTAGCTCAGTGGTCTACTATTTTATGCTACCGTCTGATCTACATATTCTTTGTCATTGCCGATTCGGCAATCATCCAATGTGATGTGGTCGATTTCTTGCGATCTGCGATTTATGTCGGTTAAACGCTTTACGTGTGTTCGCGAAGTTTTCTGCGTGAAATATAGTAGAGCAATCGAAATAGATATAAAAAGAAGAAAGCCATCGAAATCTCAGCTACTTCCGCGTTAACCGCGCGCATATCGTGTCCGCGCATGCTCTCACCACTCAACTCTCGGATACTCTGGCGTAATTACTGCACTATTTTTGATGAATTAAAACGTCCCTTTGTATGCACACATCCGCGAGAGACTTTGGCTGATATAATTGCGTGCATGTGTACACAACGGGATCATTAATCGTTGTGAATATAGCGGCGAAATTTGTGTCCGGTAAAGTGTCAAAAATTAATCATGCAGTGGCGATAATAAATCATAACTGTAATGAGATTATTTCGTCAAATCGGTTTATATTTCATCAGTTTATACTTCTCAATAATTCTATTCTCTGTGTGTGCGTGTGCGTAACGTAGTTACAAAATATTTTTAAATTTAGAACTCGGAACTCTCAACAAATGTTTTCTCTCGAGACTTAAAAAATAGTTTTGTAACACTTTTCTAATAATATTTACATGTATGTATATGCTACATAATTGTTCTGTTTCAGATAGCGAAACTGTTCTCTTACACGTGGACGATGGGTCTCTTTCTATGCAAAGCGGTGCATTACATGCAGAGCGTATCGGCTATCTGCTCGGTTGTTACTCTTACGGCTATGTCGATCGAAAGGTAAGATTATTATTCGTGTCAGATCAATTATGCTGTTACGTATAATTGTATGCAAATCATAATCGGGTAAGTTTGAATAATACAGGGATACATAAAAGCATTGTATCGTAAAAGGATTCACGTTTGTGTCAGAGAGCAAATATTGTAATACTATTCTTGTGTACGTAAAGTATCGTGTCATAAGTATCGTGTCGTAAAGTATTATGTCATAGTTCGCATACATTTGGATCGATACCGTATTTTGAAGTTATATTGTGCATTGATTTAAAAATGTCAATAAAAATAACGTATTTTACTATTAAAATGTTAGTACATATTAGACCTTTTATTATACAGTATACAATTTATATAAATATATAATACTGGTTATTTGCATTTTATTAGATAAATAAATAATATTATTTATTTGCATTATTGCTTGTTATTAATTTTTATTAAGAATTGTGAAATAAATGAATAACGTGAATATAAGTTTAAACGCCGATTAATTAAAAAACTACGATATACATAGAACTATGCGTAACTACAATTGTGGTGCGTTCACATATTGCAGACAATGTGTGCAATAAATGGCAGAAACTTGAGTTTCCAGTACGAACAATTGCAACATTGAGGCTTTTGTGATACAATGCTGTACGCTGTCTAAGCTGTCACGAGTGCATAACAAAATTTCAAAGTTTCTTATTTAATAAAAAAACGGCCTCTTATTTTGCAGCAATTACATTTCGTAATTTTAAGATAGTAACTAAATGTGAGCGCGATTTGCAGAAGTAGATATTCATTATGTCATTGTGATATACAATTCTCTCACTTGTACAGCAATATTATACGTCACATGTAATGTACGTCACGCGAATTATGCAGACGCGCATGCAATACACACATATGTGTGTGCGTGTGTGTGTAATATTACGGTATTATAATATTGAAATTGTACTACATTAAAAGGCAGAAAAAAAGTAAAAAGTCGCGAAATATGATCATTTGATATCGATTAACGATGAAAAACACAAGTTTTTACTTTTAAAAAAAATTTATACTAATGTAACATACAAAATTTTACGCTCTTTATATGTAGTTTTAAAAGCTTTAAAATTTTATTATTTTAACACCAATAAATTAATATTAATATTAAATAATATTCGATTCTATTCTAACTAACTTTGATAGCAACGTTAAAATGACGTGTATCGCCTATATTTTTTGAGAAAAGTGCTAATGAAATTTTCACATTAATATTCCACGCACTAATTCTTAAGAAGAACTTATTTCTCGTCAACGTCTTTTCGTAAGAAAGTTGTACAGAAATTTGTTACAGGAATCTGTACGACTTTCTTACGAGAAAAACGTTGACGACAAGGAGAGTTCTCAGGAGAAGATGTTCTTCCGGCCGCTTGAAGCAGAGACAGGCGTTGTTCTTTTATCTAGCCCCAACTGATGGTCTTGTTCTGCATAATAATCTTTATCATCCTACTCTCTTCATGATCAAATTCTGTTGCCGGCAATTTCCGTCACTGCGCGCACGATTAAATGACAGCGTCGCGAACACTTTGAAATTAAATACCTGCCATTAATCCGAAAACTTGCGATCTATGTTTGTGTGTCGGAGCGCATCTTACGGATCTCACTACCCGGATATTTGCCTTTTTTATGACGCTCTCGCTTTATCCTCGCTAAAACCGAGGAGCTAGTGGAAGAGATTTTTTTTTCGCCTTGAACTTTTCCTCCCGCGTGCCATCTCGGATTCCGTGACAGTGACATTGCCGTACCTCCGAGTTAAATGAGATTAAAGTGGATTCCAACGTTTGAGGTAACGTTGGATATCCGGAACAATTAATTATGCGTCTCTGTTTCTCTTTCCCTTTCTCTATTTCTCTCTTACACACTCTCCAGCTCTTTTCTTCGGCGCAATTGTTACATCTCCGTGAAAAAGAATACGCGCAGCGCGTATAGCAATTACAACAGGCCCTCAGCTATTTCTTACTGCTTGACGCTTATCCGAAGATGACAGTCTTTTGATATCTTTGAAGTAAAGAAGTCAAGTAAAAAGCATTTTATTCTCTCCCTTTTTGAATTTAAGGCAATTAAAGCTGCAATTACTTCGCTAAAAAAGATACTTTTGTAGTAATATCGAAGTACGCAACTTTTTAATCATTTTATTTTTATAATTGCAGTAAACCAGAGAAAAATACGAAGTACATAAAAATAGAAACTAAAACTGAGAGAAACTGAGTAGATAGAACTTGGTAGATATAACCTGATAGAAGGCAAAAATTAAATTGTGTGTATGACACATTTTTAATATGTAAAAGGCGCTTTACTTTTTGTTATATAAGATAAAAAGTGACTTCTCACTTATTGCACGTGCGGGCGCGCGATATTACGATTCGATTGAGTCAACCTAGTTTTATCACGGATTTTGTTGTACATAAATCTTGTTTGCACACGCAAATGCTTCGGTTTTATGTGCTCTATATATCAGGCTGACTCCGCGAATGCATTTCTCATATGTTTTGCTATAAAATTGAAAAATTCTAGCTTCGATTTATGCTCACATATGAAGAGATTCAAATATAAGCATTACAATCTTTTTTTCATATTTCTTAATGCAAAGATTAATCGCAAAGATTATTATTATAATTAAGATAAATGTAACGTTTCAAAATTAAAAAATTACGATAATTTAAAATACTTTGTTATAAGTTTTCGCGAGCATCGTTGATACTATTAGCAGTAATTTCATTCTTGAAGCAATTTCCATTCGATATTTGCTTGTTAGGAACTTAATCCGCGACGGTGTAATTACTGAGCAAGACATTTAATACATCGAATAGATCTGTAAATGTCAAAGCGCTATCTAATGACACTATCAAATAGGTAGAGAAAATAACAGTTAAGTATATAATATTTAATTTACATTCTATTGTATAATCTTGTAAAACAAAATTAACGTGAGCACAACATTGAAAAAATTATTAACAAAATGAGATAATATTTTAATTATTTTCTCTAATATTTTGTTATTTGATTTTGGTTATAATTAATATTTTTAATATAAATAAATAAAACACGCTTGAAATATAAATATAATAATAAGGTAATAAAATAAGGTCAAACGAGCAAAGATCAGGGTGTTAGTATAATATAATATAATTCATAGGTAACAAAATGTTAATAATATAATAGACGCTTCGACTCTGACTTCAGTCTGTTAAAACACGCTATTTAAGTCGTATACGGTAATAACCAAAATTCTCGCAAAAATAAACGGAGGTTTAATGTTGAAAAAGTCTTTCGGTGATAATTTCAGTTTTGATTTTTATTTTCTGAATAAAATACAAGCAACAACATGATCCGGACACGACGAACGTGCGCCAAAATCAATAAACGCGGAGTCTAGTTCTCTCGCCAAGTTTTGGAAACACTTAACGCAATTTTCCTCAGTGGTCGGCGGAAAAAAGTCATCGAAACGTCAAAAGCGCACGTGATCCTGACCGGCCATTTCGTCGTGCGGTCGTGAAACGATTTTACACAAGCGATAAAAAAAAGAATCCGGAAATAGCCGTTCGTTCCATTTGCTCTTATCGTTGCCCCGTCGTCTGATTGGCACGAGCATCGGATGCAACGATTCGGGCAATTTGTATTCATGACGATAATAGCGGTGCCGAAAACAACGAAAGGGACTCGTTTTCTCGTTGCTCACGTGAATAAAAGAAGAAACTCAAGGTAGGAAAAACGACGTAGTCCGTTAAATTGCGTAAATTGCTCCGACCGATTTTCCACCCTATTACGCGATTTGGTCCACCTACTTGCTATAATTTTGTTCCTCTTTCTCAGATCAGGATTTAACCGGCGGGAGACGAAATTTTCTTCCTTTTGATAATGTCCTCGGCTTAACTTTCCTCAAGTTTTCTCCTATTTATAATATTTTCCACGGCTGATTTTTCCTCATACAGTATAATCCCCGCGGAATACAAAGAAATATTTCTGTGCAAGACATTTGATACTCTTCTTTTAATTAATTAAAATTAATATAAAATTATGTTTTCAGTAAAAAAAATATCTATTACTTATATTCTTTTACGTTATAATGTTATTTCTTGGAATTAAAGCTTTATCCGTTGAATTTTATTTTGTTTGAATATATTCCGCATAGAAATTCTGCGAAGCACACATTTTCCAAGATTGCTTCGACCGCGCTATTCGATTCGTACACCGTAGTTGCGAGTTAAAAAGGGGATATGTTTAATATTAGAAGTGTACCTACGATAGTCGATTTCGCGCTCGGGTTCTATCTCGGTCGTGCAATCCTACGAGACGATACTTATTCCGAGATAATCACTTCGACAAGAGTATCATAGCCGATGTGGACCGCAAATGAAACTCTACACGACTCAGTTTTTCACGCCGTTACGCGATCTTTTTCATCGGATTTTGTGTTATCATATTTTTGTGCTGCGGGCGGAACGTGAAATAAATTCAGATTAATATCTGTGCCCACGCGCGAGCGATTTTGCAAAAAAAAAAATAATATGTCTTGTAAGATGAAGTGAAATACACTTTAAATTTATTCTTTGAATGACATTTAAAAACTTTCTCTCGACAAATACTTCGACAATTGTACTTTATTCTTTTGCAATTGTTCATGTTCATTGGAACATTTTTAATTAAAAACCATTGACATTTATCCGATATATCTATATTAAAATAGAGAAGGCATAACGAGACAATTAATTTTAATTAACTCAAAAAGTTGTGAATGATATTATTTTTTCAGGTATTATGCAATAGTGCATCCAATGAGAGCGCAGTATACGTGCACTATCAGTCAAGCTCGCAAAATCGTGATAATTACCTGGATCGCGGCATTTCTGCTCGGGATTCCAATGGCGTTTACACAAGTACGTATATATTTTCTAAAAAAAATCTACTCTGATTGATTTGTTTTTAAGTTCATTGCGCTCTATTGTTTTTGAATTTTCAATTTTTAGTTCTCAGCAAGTGTTTTAACATCTGCATCTGAAATCTCATACATTAAACAAAGATTTCCATCTAAATACGTAAAAAAATTCGATGTATTTTCTCATTCAAAAGTAATTTGTTTTCTTTCACTCATCATTTTGCCAGACGTTATTTACCGATGTAATAATTTTACGAAGAAATATCGGCTTTTCAAGCGTGTAAAAAATACATCTGCGTGTTTTTCGATGAATGTTTGAATCGGTTTGTATATCGCGGGTTGATACTATGATGTGAAATATAAAGTCACATGTACCCAATCTGAAAACACCCTTTTGCACGTATAAGCGGCATATAAATATAAGTTCGTTAAGATAGTAAAGTGTTTGATTTCTATATTACGCCAAACGATATTAAGCGCGTTTAAAAGCAATTTTTAATTAAACGCAAATCGTAACATAATAATATATACATTTGCACACTTTTGCGCTGGTAATTACTATTTGTTTTGCATACTGTGGCATTTGCTTCTATATTTGCATACTCGATTGCCGCAATATGATACTTCACTGTATGTCCCTTTTGCATACGCGCGTTAAGCGTCCGCGAAATTCGAGAACGATACGCCCCAGTTATGCGCGTCCGATAAAGCAGTGATACATATCCGCCCACTACTATCGCTACCTTGAAAGGAAAAAAGATATATGCCCGTGATAATCGGCCGTATAGCGGAAAATCAGTGGAAATCCGACGTGATTAGATTTCCATTTGACGGAAACCTCCCGATGGTTCCCGATAGTACTCTTCCAGATAGAAAGCTCGAGATACGTTTTGCACATATTGCTCGTTATCTAAACATAAAGTGTCGCTGAACAGCCGAGAGAAGAGATACTGCTAAGTCATCGGTCTGCTTTAATGTTACGTGTACCTCTTCAATTTCAAAGTTCTGTTTGTAGAGGAAACAAAGATTGTTTTTCTAATAGAATTACAATCAGCGTAAAATGTGGAAAGGTGATGTAAAATGATGTAAAAAGATAAAAGTTGATAAGAAAAAGTTTAAACTTTATATTCCTTAAAGAAAACTTTTCGTAATGTCTCCATGTGTATTATGTTCTCTACTCAACAATAAATTATCTATGTTTAAATAAAGGAAATCTCGTACGTTAATTAAAATATATATTAGTTTCTAATAAAAAATAATTTTCAATAATTTTTAAACATGTATGATCGAGTTGACGTATTTATTTTCATATATATTTATGACGAGAGAAATATTGTTTATTGAAAAACATTATGCTCACGATTTATTTGTGCGACAAATTTTATTGCGATATTATATTTTATGATAATTCTACGATACGCTGTGTGTGTAATCACGACTCGCGTACACTCACACTCGGAACGTAAAATTTACTTTCCGAAGAATATAAGCGTTCTCGAGTGTTTTCGATTTGAGAAATAAAAAGAAATTTTTATTAACGATACAACGAGATATATATTTTCTTGAATTGATTCTTGTAGAATCGCGTGCGAGAGAGACAAGAAGAATAAACGAAGAGATAAAATAAATGAAATTTTTGCGTCGATCTAGCACGAAAGTTATGGTTTGTCGAGAATAAAACACGAGGGAGGAAGGAGAATGCGATATCTGAGAAACAAAAATAGTTTTCATTCTTCGCAAAGCTTTGAGGAACTTCATTTATAGCGAGAAAGAAGAAGCAACGCGTGGGTTACGCTATGCCGCAACGTCATTTTCTTTCCTCGTCACACAAATAAAATCGCTTTAATTTTTCTCGTCCGAAGCTTATCAGAAACTAATAAAGATCACGTATTGTGTACGGGTTGTTTCTCAACTTTTTCGTTGAAAGGAAAACTCTGTCTCTTTTTATCTTTTCTGTATTTGTTGCGTGCAAAACACAAATATTTAGTAACAAGCAAAACCGATCTCAAGTTTTTGCGTGAATAAAAAAAAAACTCAAAAAAATATTTGAAATCGTTTTCTCGGCAATGGCATTGGCAGTCTCTTTGATCAAAAGGACTTACACCGCGCAGAATTAATAAAGCGAGACGTTGATCCTTTTTATGACGTGGCGAAATAAACGTGGGCGTCATAAAAAATTCTCATACCCGTGGAATTTTATTGTCCGCATATATAAATGCCTGTCTAACGACTGAATAAAACGTTGCGAAGTGAAAAGCGACGCGGAAAACGCGTGTTTTTTACACGCTCCATTGCAGTTTTTGTGTTCGCCGTGAGAAAGTCGCTTTTTTTTAAGTCTTTTGCTCACCTGTCGCTAATTTCTTACGTTACTGTTTTTTTTTTCAGACGCATAAAAAAGTCGGACTGAGATACATTGCTTACTGGTGCGTGCGCGATTCCGAAGCCGCGCTTCTGTGGCGAGCTCACGAGGTTTACATGCTCGTCGTGGTTCTTTTGCTGCCGCTAATCGTCATGACGTTTTGCTACACGACCATCTGTTGGGAAATCTGGCGTGTTATGAAGCGCCGGCATCACATGACATCACGACACGCGTAAGTCCGATGGAAAAATCCGGTTTAATTCGTGCTTTTCTTTTTTTTCTAATTTTTTGCTTGAATTGCCTTTTATCGTATTTGCAGGAAATGGGAAAGCGATCTTTTTACAAAAACATATTTTTACACTCAGATTCTAGATATAATAAAACTTATTTTTTGAAACAAGAATCTGAGGAAGTCGCCAGCAATGTTTTGCGCGCGTTGCTGTGGTGATGTTGTTTTGATAAACAATATTATCGCAAAGAGCAATACTGTTATCGGAAATATTAATTCGCACGATCTGTTATTAGTACAGTCGAAATTGAACAGATCCTCGATTTTATTAATCATGAAATCTTTCACGCGCACAAAAAAAACATTCAAAAATTTGAAATATATTATATATATAGACTTATAAATATACATTGTATATATAGACTAAAATCGATAGCCTATTGATTGAAGGAGAGACAGACAAATAAACAATAAAACAACAACATATTAAATTTCAGCAGCGGGACGACATTTCGCAAAACGAGCGAAAAACGCATACGTTTTTGATCGTTTTTGAACGTTCTGATTTCCGTCGCTTGTCCACTATTGTGTCCAGTAATCGATGTGAATCCGATCATGTCGTATATTAATTTATACGTGACGTTTATGAACGCGAACACGGCACTCTACAAATGACCGGATAAACTGATATTTGCCTTCTATGATGATAGCCCTGAAGCGACTCGAAATCCTGTTTTGCATCTGCTTCGTATAAAATGCCGATTATTTTCTCGGTGTCTTACATATCGTTTGTTTTTTAATATCATAATATCTAAAAAACACAAAAATGTTAATTTTCAACATTTTGGTGAGCGACTCGAGGCGCATCGGTGGTTTTAAAATTAGCGAAACATTCGACACTTACAAATAATCTTTTTAAAGTGCACGCAGTGATATACGCATAATTCGATCCAGGAAACAAACTCTCGGTAATAGACGCAAGTCGCATCGCTGATAGCGTTTCTTTCGGGGAAGTGCAATCCGCTTGAAATAGATCGAGGACGATCGGGCAAATGTAATGACGAATGCAGAAATGCATTTAGATTTTACGACTCAACTAGATTTACTGGTTTCCTTTACGTCTCACATGCGAAACATATTCACGCATAAGCGCGCGCCTCGAAGCAGTCGCTCGACACATTTCGGACATAGTTCGAGAAAATATTTACTTTGTTTCAATAATTGTGTAATGTAATTTGATACAAAAGAAGCAAAATTGCGTTTATTTTTGTAGAAGTTTCTTCTACTCTTCTGTTTCTTACGGAAGCAGAAAAAGAAGAGAAAAAACTTATTTTTATCTGCAGTTTTGAAATTAGCTTTCTAATTCTCTTTATTACTGACAAATGTAGATGCAACACATGTAATTAAACAAAAACAATTCCTTTTTAAGATAATGAGTATCTAACAAAGAATTACGATCCACTGTGCTCGGTTAAATGAAAATAATTTTAATAATTTTGTGTGTTTGTGGAAAATGCACACGGAAATATTTCTACGTGAAAAATCAATTATGCATTTTAATCAAACGCATGGGAAAGCGTATTCTGATTGAATCGATTGCTTTATCGCTACTAAAATGCCGTGTATACGGAGAAGTGCTGCTGTTGAATTAACCAGTTGCGTGGAAAGATTAGTACTTCCAAGAGACGGAGATATATAGAAAAATTTCTGCAGCGCAAAATTTTAATAAAAACTCACTGCTGAATTCGCGCGCATGTAAAAAAACTATTTAGGATAAACTTGTCGTATGTAAGACTAAAAAAAAAAAAGAGAGAAAAAAGATAACCGTAGAGGAAAAATGATATCATAACGTTCTCGATATTTTTTTTACTGAAATAAAAATGTTTCATCGCGTTGCGCTTCCCGACAGAATTATTTACTTTTCTTAGAAATAATTTCTTTTCGTAAAATGTCGGTTGAAATTTAACAAGCTACATCGAAGAGTAACTTTAAATTACTAAGAAACGAAGTATTATATTTCAATACTACAAAAGTTTGCTTTGCTCTAACTAAATAAATTAAATTTTAGATATGAAGAAGATTTCTCCTACGAAAGTTCAAAATTAATTTCACGTCACTTATATCATTTACTTCTAGATTTGAGCTATTGCTTTCGGATATCTTTCTGTAATCCGTTTTGAAGCTCTGAATGCAGCCACTATATTTTTGATCCATTTATATTTCAAAACGTTCCGAATTACCGTACACATAGAATTCACGCGCGATAGATCCGCTTACAGATAATCGGAGCTCAGCTTTAATCTGTTTCAGACTAAATCCAAATAGTTTGGATACGGAATCTATACCTATGACGCAACGGCAGGGTGGAAACGAGCGAAAATCGCGTAAAGACGACGACGACGAGTCACGGACTATCAAGCAGGTTTGATTTTGTTCAACTTTGTTTTTGCAACACAAACAAAGTTGAAAACCTTAGTAAATTTAAGAAAAGATTAGTTTGAAAAAAAAAAAAAAAACGATTTCGGATGGTTTTAACAGCTTGAAGTTGTCAAACTTGTATTTTAACTATCAGAAAGTATCGAGAAACTACTAAAACCGCATCGACTCGCGCTCTGCCAACAGGTGGTGAAGATGCTGGTAGCTGTCGTGGTGCTGTTCGCCATCTGCTGGGCTCCTATGCTTATCGATAATGTCCTGACCGCTTACGGTGTCTTCCCGCGTATCAAACACGGAGCGCACAAGCACTTCAACACCGCGTTTCAGTTGATGGCCTACTTTAACAGGTATGTTCTCGAGTTCGACTGGGAAATTAAACACACGGGAGCCATTAATTTAAAAACCGACCTCTCAAGCCCTTAGGGCGATCTTTCCTTCAAGCAGTCGCCGTCGCGTAGACGGTTATCTCGTGGGAATCGTTCGTAGACTTGTATTATCAGTGGAAAAACCACATTGCTAGTCAGCCGTGGGTATCCGACAAATAAATCTTACAGCTATTTGCGCGAGTGTGCGTCTTTCTCTACTTTCGTTACTTCGTTACTTCATTATTATTTAGTTACTTATATGTTTTTTCTGTTATTTTTCTTATTATTTAAATTTAATTTTTATAATTTAATTTTTTAAAAAAACTTTTTCTCCCGAGTTTAAAAAGTAGTTAATGCATGTTAACTGACGAGAATGTAACTTTCTCTTTAGAAATAACAAAATACAGAAATATGGAACAACTTCGTTGTTTCGCAAAATAATCAAGTTAGATATCGCGTCGCCACTTATCAATTCGCAAAGTTGTTTGGTGGAGTATAGCACAGGACCTACAAAGTTAGAAACCTCGGCACTCTGTGTGCATACATCCACTCCTCTCTGTTTAATATTTATATCTCTCTTCTCTTCAGTATTACACTATATTGAAATTGTTTGTCGTTCACAAAACACTATTCACATTCTTCGAAACAAATTTAATTGATGGCTTTTTTACAGTGTGCCACTTTGAAAAAAAAATAACACGGGTGCGCGATGCGCACCGTTATACCGCCTCGCATGCAAATACGATATTTTCGCTATATTTTTCACGAACATAAACAACACGTACGTATTTACAATATCCGACTATCAAGTTAGATCCTCAAGTGTGTTTCAAACGTTTTAAACAATTAATCTATTTGCCGAGCGCGCAATTGAATTAGGATTTTTTTTACCTTTAGATCTATTCAATTGCCTTGTGAATAAGCTATTCAGAAAAATGTACATTTTTAAAACATTCATGTTCATGAACGTTAGAACTAAAAAAACCAAAATTTAGACGTTTTGTTCGCATTGTCCGCTGTTTGGGACAAAATACAGAGAGCTTCGCAGTAGCGTCAAATTGATTTAAAAATATAAATTTCTTTTGACACGAGAATAAAACTGAATTTTTCAATAATAATATATCTCTGTACAATCACAGAAATGATTTGAGGTTGACGGATTTCTCGCGTTTCTGATACGCGTGAATTTTCGCGTTCTGAGAATTACGTTGTGCGTGGGCTTAATATAATTACATTTGCATTGAAATTGGAATATGTGAGGTTTGATTATCTCAGTATTGAATCGCGAAAACAGAGCGTGTGCGAAATTGTGTTCGCCGAATGCGCGTTAATTTTACCGTGTACTGCTGTTCTTTTTTTTTTTTTATTCTGGTTTTACATTTCTCGGACGCGCAGATTGATATCTCTAATAGCTACCTTCGATTACAAACCATGTGTCATTTTGATAACTACCTTTGATCAACTTAACAAGTGATACTGTACCAGACAACAGCGTGAATGCAATAGATAATCTACATACTATTGAAGTGATTTACATCATTACGAGAAAATTTGCCTTTTCTCCGCCTTTCTCATCGTTCTTCTCTCGCTTTCTGCTCGTTTCTTTGCCCTTTAAAAAAATTACTGTATTACTTCTTATTGCGAAATAATTTTAAATTCAATCTTTAATTTGATTTGACTTTTTTTTATTCTCGTACGTGAGAGGAAAGCTCTTTTTATGCAGATATCTTCAATTTTGATTTCGCGTTGGAGAATATATCTGTGACAAAAAAATGTTAAAAGATATCTGAAAGGAAGTATTGAGTTTTTGAATTTTAATAAGTTAAAACTTGAAAGAAGTGGATAAATTTTTGATGAATTTTTAACACAAAATCGATGTTTGCTTTAATGACGATTATCGATATATTTAATGCCGAATACATTTACAATTGTAGCAAGTTTTTTTTATTAACTTTTTGCCAAGAAACCGTCAATTAAGCTTATAAAAGAATTTGTTGTCAAAAGGAAATATGATAGACGAGAAAGAGCCTGCATTGTGCGCGGACATGAGAGGAGAGCGGCTTAAAAAAGAATCTGCCACGAATATATAATGCGCTTTATGTTGAACATCTAATAAATACTTCATTTTGTTCTTTAAATAACATTTTTAATCATATTTTCGCTCAATAAAAATCTTTTAGAGGAGAAAAGTGTTACTTTTTGTAGCAGTATCACATTACTTTTAGTTCGTAAGTTTCGAAGTACAAAAGACACCCTTTTTGTAAGCTACTCTTAACTTTCTTTTTGTAACTGGACGAGAGAAAACTTTTGTGGAAGGGTTCGACAAGTTTGCCAAGTTCGACCTGCGTCTCAAGAACTTGGTCTCATGCAAACACACATCTACGTGTGTAAATCCACAAGAAAAAAGCGCAAAAATCTATGACAGTAAAAGCTAGGTCACGGCTCCGCTACACTTCTTGTTTCTACTTACCTAACAACTACGAACGATCTTTGAGGTTTTGCCGCAGTCTGGTTTAATGCACATCTCGAAAGCCGTCCCCTTATTTGTAAGTCTGTTTCTTGCTAAATGCCCGAAGTTTCATCAGGGACAAAACGAGAGAAGCGTTTTAACTTTTATATTAAATATAAAAACGGACAAAAATCATCTCTCTGCTTATTTGATAATTAATATATTATAATTAATATATTATAAAAGAGAAACTATATGTTTCCTGGCGCTTTCTTTGAATATTTGTGATACTGTTTCTTCGTCGTATTTTTATTCTAGAAAGTCGATGCGCGAGACACGTTTCAGATAAAATAATCGATACGGCTATTCGCATCGCAAAATAGCGTATCATAGAAATTGCCGCGTTGCATTAATCGCGTCGTCTTCCTTCAGTACTTTTGCATTTTATTCATTACAGATCAACGTGATTTTTCAATCACACCTACATTCCGCATTTTTAAATCCGATTTTGGCGTTGCAGCTGCATAAACCCGATAATTTATGGGTTTATGTCGAAGCACTTCAGGGAAAGCTTCTTGTCGGCCGCCTGCGGCGGATGGTGGATTTGCTGTCCCAGAAGAGGCTATAGAGCATCAGTAACGAGGCATCCCAGCCTCAGCCAGACCAGAACCACCAGTATGAGGTATGCCGGTTTTCATTGTGTTCGACAGCGTCGCGTCGTTGAAGAGAATGAAAGGCAGAGAGGGAGCGTGAAAAGTGCGCGATCACTGAAAACGTTGTACACATTTCGCGTATATTTTTTTATATGATTATTGATAAAACTAATAGAGAGCGGTAATATTCTCTGCAGCGGTTAGAAAAAAAAAAATGGATTTAACTTTTTCTCACAACATATGCTCAAAAAATTTACACTACCATTTTCTGCGTATAACGTTTTTAATTTAATACAGCGAATTACGTAGGATTTATTTTTGCTTTAAAGAGAAGGGGGTGTGTGATGCGCAAGTCAAATTTGACGTAACAACATTCGTATGTTACGAAAGTCAATACATGTTACGGTATAATATCGCGGATGCAATAATTTACACAAAATTTACGACTCAAAACCGGTTGAGCTGAAATATGCGATTACATTTCTGTTTAAAATGAACCGTAAACTACCAACGCACCGTTACAAACAGACAGCCGGTGTCGCGCTTATAAAATCTTTCAGTAAACGCAACGTTTCACGAGAACGAGCTTGCGCACAGTACGTGGTGCAAGCAGATATTTTATCGCGTTAAAGAAATTAATGTTTACATGTGCATATTTTATATGATTTGCTCCGATAATAATACGTTTATTTATTTTAAAAACTCGATATAAAAAATACCTTTTTTTTATAGTAGATAAAAATGTATCAATTTTTTATACTCTGTAGATTTTGTGAGATCTATACTGCGTTTGCGAGTGTCACATTACAAAAAGATAACTATACGATTTACAACATTTACATTACAAACTTTGCTAGCTTACTACAACTTCGATACCACTTTCCGTTGGCAAGAACTTTAACTGTTCTGCGACGTGGTTTTGTTAGCGTGAAAATTCTCGATATTAACTCGTAAGCTCAAAGTTCTGCCGAAGTAAAGTCCTCCGTTTCTGCATGCATGATTCAAGGTGGATTCGAAACTCCTTCCATGAGTCGAAGTCCCGAAACTCGACCGACGTGCATCTCGTAGCCTACCCATGACACGTCTGCGGGGTTCGCAAGCCCCCGTGCAACCTGGTCGGCTCTGACAGCCAGAAATCTCGAAATCCCGCGCATGTTGCCACGCATGTCCGACTAGGATAGAGACCAAAATGGAGAACACGACTGGATCGAGGTAAACTAAATAGTCAGTCAACGTCGCTATTCATCTCGCACATATATACACATCCGGCATGCCGATTCCCGGTTCGGCTGCTTTATCAATCAATCGCAGCAAATCGAACGGCTAAATTAAGCGCCTTTCACGATGAATTGAAGGATAATGTCGAAAATTGGAGGATTTTCAGATAGAATCATACACACATTTTAATTGAACAAACATTCAACACAGAATATGCATATTTTATTGCACTAATTCTCTAATAATCGCATGTAAATATTGGTTTAACTTTCTTTTGTGGTTTGTAACAATATAAATATATCACATTCATTAATGTTTTATACTTGTTCGCTTATAAGTTTCTTCAAAATATAAAACAAGTAATTAAGCATTAGATATTGGATATCTAATGCTCTAGTAGATATCTAATTTTATTGCTTTATATTTTTTTTATATAAAAACTTATTTTTATTTTAATAGAATATTTTATAGAAGTTTTTTTACCTTTGTTCCACACACCAGAAACAAAACAATCACGGTTTCTAATTTGACCTTTTGATTTACTATCATGGTAACGCGCGAAGAGATTATATTCGCTTATTTGTAAATTGCGAACTAACCGCAACCCACCAATTTAATAGCTGAACTATATCCGGTTTTATCTCATGCCACGTACAGCAGTAAAAATAAATTTACAGAAACAATTTGTATATAATGTTTCTCGATCTAGTCGTGTACCGACGATGTATCCATTATTTAATTGCATAATAAGTTTATTATTTTCGAATGTACTGTGATACAAAAGCGATTTCATACGTATTGAAAATATATTTAATTTGGAGTTTTAGTAAATAGAAATTTTCTATCAAACTTGTGAAACATAATTTCAATTAAAATAAAAATTTCGAGTAACGAGATCGACGAAAGTATTGTATATTAAAAAAATAGAATAAGATGATTTGCTTTTCGATATAGCAATAGAAATAGCAATTTCTTCTCATTGCTGCATTGTAAATTTAATATTGTGCTTATAGCAAGTTTACAGATTGAAATAACGCTTCTTAATAAGTAACTAAATATTAAGAGTGCATTAAAAGCAAAGTTGCTTCATAAGTAGCAAAGTTTAATTTATCTTACTTAATTTATTTTTATCTCTGGATCACAAGTGGACTTTACTTAACAGAACTTTCTATTTTTCAACTTTAAATCTTTACACCTGCAAAATATTCACACACAGTAATGATATTTAAGAAAATTACACAAAAAACATGTATATAATCAACCATTTTTATAGCTTTTATTATATATCTTCTCTTATTATATCTATATGTATATATATATCATTAAAACATAGAAAAATAATAAATTTTAATTGGTCTGATAATGTATCTCATCGTAATCACGATAATTAATTATTCATCAATTTAACTTTTCGCAGTAACACTTTGCAGTTTTCATTCATGAAATATTGTTATGTCCGCAAACATTGACTCGTCTCTAATATTTTGCATTTTTGTAATATCTTGCAGGTAGAAAAATATGTTTTTTTGTGAGCATACGTAAGCTTATAAATACAAATAAGCTTTGTTTATCCACATGTTTCACGATTATATTGTGCAGGATGGCTTCAAAGTTACATAACAAAATATTATTTTTTATTGTACAACACAATTGTGCCGTTGTTTGACATGTATGCATGTACACACACACGCGCGCGCGCGCACACACACACATATATTTAAATTTCGTCGCTCGAGGATGGTATTTGTTGTAATAGTTTTTTGCGTCATAAAACCCGTCTCCGAAAGAATAAAAATCGGATTGCCTCGAAACGGAAGGGAATCAATTTGCGAGCCGTTTGTTTTTTCGAGCACGCTTCCCTTTGGCGCTTCGAGATGAGCGCGACTCACAAGTCAGATTTGCTTGTTCAAATGTAATCCGCTGCAGAACGTCTCTCTCGCGACTTTATCCTCTCTCCAAATTGTGCTCGTAATGATGAAATTCCATTGTCACGTGTCTCACCCTCTCGCTTCTCCTTCTCTTCAGCCGCCGTTTGCTTTCAGATGGACCTGATTCTTTCTTCATTCCCGGGTCAGGTCATCGGGAGAGGTCTCCGTCGGATAAGGATTGCAATTCCGACACGTGGGAGACGCGATTATAGAATTTACAGAGATGTAACACACGTTGACCGCTTGTTGATCCTTTTGTCCGCCTACGATCGACAGCTGTCGGTCTCAAGATGCTGAAGTGACACACAAGTTTCGTGAACAACTTTGCGGAGTTGCCGTCTACTTAGACACTCCCGCAAGTTAATGTAGTAAAGTAAGTCACTCACGACGTGTACACTCGTGATCTATTTATCAACGACTCTCTCTCTCGGCGCACCTCAACGCGTCGTGGCGGCATTATTACTCATTCGTCGCGTGGGCGAGATAATTGGACAGCTGATTAATTGGATAGTCGGACAATTGAACAGTTAACAATCAGAGCCTCGGTAAATATAGATGGACAGGTCAAGAGGATGAAATTTTAGATGTCGGCAACGCGGCCAGTAACGGATGACGATCGCATATCTAGGATAGTCATCAACAATGAGATATAAATAATTATAGCGTATAAATATAGAAATGAGTCGTTTTTTTTTTTTT